ATGAAAAATGCGTTGAATCATTACAGAACTTGAAACAATGGGCGTAACTTTCAATTTACAAAATTATTAGTTGTTGACTTTTCCCATCCACAGAAGAAATCTTTTCAGGTACACGGCCAAAATGGGCCTGTGGCAAACTCGCCTTCCAGAAGTCGTTTTTCGTCCTCAGTGACGTGTCAGCAACTTATTGGTGATGTCAAGCGCACGTGAAAAACTTATATTTTTTCACGTGTGTTGTTGCGGCTTTTACCGCAGTTTACACGATAAGTGGCTTTCACATGGCAGTAAATGCCCCATACAATTTCTATGCTAGGTAGCTTCGAAAAAAAAATGGTCGTGGTGCAAAATAAAATACAGAAATATAATGAGCGTGCAAAAATTGAAAGTATTCCCAGTTTTTAGGCCACTCGCATTTGAAAAGCCACAGCTTGAACAGGGATAGGTTTCCATTCGGTAAATATTTTTCATTATTGTTTATTCAGATGACTGTCAAATGTTGTATTTTAGGTGGCAGCAGCCTCCACACTGCAACTGGCTATCATTAAACGACTCGCTCTGCATTTATTGCATTTTTTTGTACTAGAGCCATTTCAATTAAGTAAGGAAAGTAATCGACGACTGCTTTGCTTTTTTTTTTTTGCCACGCTCTGTGATTGATTTGGAAAATTTCGCCATTCCCTCAACCTAAAACCAATCACGACTTGGTCGCCCCAGTGTTCCCGTGTTTTAGGCGGTTTGGTTTCTTTATATTTGAATGCTTATTTTCTCTTATAGGAATTTTTCTCCTTCTGATTGGCCGTTTGATTCTCTGCTTTTGGTTTTTACAAAACTCAATCGAACAGCGCTCTCTAACCTGTGGTATAATTTACAAGTTTAGTGACAGGCTCTTGCAAGAGTCGTTTCTCCAACTCACCAACCTTTTCACCTTCGTTCCGTAACGTTTGATCTGAATGCTTCATACTAATCTTTCTCTCTTTGGTTTTGCGTTGACTTCCACAGGAATGATGGCAGACCAAACAGGGAACTACATAAATTCGTTTTACATGACCGGCGGTGTTGTGATGTTTGCATTTTTGATTCCCTTTGCATTGATTTTCATCAACCGGGAAAAGTCTCGAGTCAGCCCAATAGTGTCAAGAGAAATGAAAGACAAAGAAGCAAAGTGTACTGCTCCAAGAGCCGATGTGGCAGCCAATAATTTCCCTGCTCAGAGCTAATTAAAAAATAACCGCACTCATCTTTTCCAGCAACTTTAACAATGTCTTCAGAGTAAAAGTCTTTCGTCTTTTATAGTGAAACTGAAAAGCCCCATTGCCTTTAAAATCGAAGGCTTGTTATGTAAGGTGAATGGCATATGATTAGTTTGCCTTTAACAAGATTTAATTTTATGGGCAAAAACGCTAATAAGAGGAACGAATGAGTAAAGGAGATCAGATGATTTAACACGAAGCTGTAAAGTACTTTAACTTTCTTTATTTTCATGGGGAACAGCCGTGGAAAATTTCTGTTAAAAGCAACGGAAAGAGTTTTTTCTTCTAAGACTCGACCGTATCCTTCTTAAGTCCGGGCTCTAGAGATTGAAAATTTGCACTTTTGATATATATGCGATATTGACCAAGCGTGAGGTCAAGATGGCTAGATATTAGCAGAGTTCTTTTTTTGCGTTTCAATGGACCGGGACCAAGTCGAGGTCCATAGAAGCGCAAAAAAAGGGGAACGATGCCTATATCGAACCATCTTAACCAAACATACGGCATAATTTAAGAAGAATAAAAAATGACTTGTTTATTTTGAGATACGGGAGAGAAATCGACGTGCGTTCGCAACATAATAAACCTACGAGATTTGTTTAATGTTTTCGTTGTTTTTAATGTCTTCTGCTGCGGTCAAGTTTCCATAATCCCTCCCCCCCCCTTATACTTTGTTAGCGACAACTGATCCCCCTATCTTCCCCCTGAAAGCCATGTGATCCCCCAAATTCCTCCATCCCCCCACCCCCTCAAGATAAATGATTGGTCTGGTCCCTTGGATACGATTGCGTAAGTAGTTTTGTTGAAGTTACAGTGGAAAAATAATCACGTGAGTCGCTTGTACATTTTGTGATCTATATGAAAGAAACAACTCACTGATTCGCCAGTTCATATATTCACGAATCACTCGCACCTTTTTTAAAATTCATGCGTCACATATTAATTTTAGACTTTAAACACGTCACGTGTAAACGCTTAGCTGCCCTCTCTGAATAACTTTTTATCATAATTTTGTCTAGACTATCCAGCAGCTTATGAACACACGAGACGATCTTCGAGTATATGAATCCTGCCTCAAGACGCCTTTTTATCCGGTCAAGGTCAAGTTTTTGTTAATCCGCCCATAAGTAGATGACATTACAACACGTTTGGCCTGGAATTCTTCATTAAGTAGTCTGTGCTTATAAATAGGCTGGAAAATAGGGTCAGCAAATCAAAACCACCGCAAATATCACCCATGTGTGACCTGGGTGACAACCCACAGGGTGACACTTGAGGTTTCGCTATGAAAATATTAAAGGTGTCGTGAAAACAAATATCACGTCATTAAGTACTTATTCCGCAACAGCTAGAATAGCGAGGTTATACCAGCTGCAGGGACCTCACCAGTCCCTCTCCGCCAGAGAGCACGAGAATACAGAAGAATGCCCAAATGTTTCTTCTGTTCTCTAACAAAGCACACTGTCTTAACCAATCAGAGGGAGCGTTATATTAAAACTTCATGCATCATGCTATATGCTACCTAAACATAAGGACATATAAACCCGGTTTGCAGAAAACGTGATCAAATTTAAATATTGGACTTAATTCCTTAGTCAAAATTAGCTCCAGGCGTGATGTTGTTGTGAAGTACATGGAATGGCTTTATTTGAATACAGAAGCGCATGCTCGGAGTTCACGCCATTTTTTCGCCCGAGTTAATTTTAGTAACTCGTCTGAGTTCTCTTAAGGAGACTTGGGAAAATCTAACTCAAATGGATGGGGAAAAGGGCATTGAAAACGCTTTTAAAAAGCTGAAGCGTTTCTTTAGCGGTAAAAGGTTCCAAGATACACCGTGGTCAAGGGTCGTGTGTATTTCAGCAGCCGTGAGTGATGCAATCAGTCTTAGCTTTACACTCAGCTTTGGAGTTTTGTTCCCGGAGTTGATGAGGCACTTAAATGCTACAAGAGAAAGGACAGATATTCTGATGATAAATCTTTTTCAGTGACGGAAGGTTATAAACTAAACGCTGATTTTGTCGTTGAATTCTCATCGGAACGCTGGTTTGGGCCTGAGGGTGCACTATGAGACAACCATGTAACCAACCGACCAGTGGCCCATAATTGACAAAACGTTACAATCACAATGCGCGAACATTTTGATTTTCCTACCGAAATTTCCGTTTTTTTCGCCTAAATGGTAAGCACCCCATAATTTAGTATGTACTTGGCATAGTTAATCAGCTGGGTAGAAACCATTCCCACTTCAACATAGTCCTGATGGCAATGAAACTGGCTCTGTTTGGCCACCTTATGATGTTTTATATGGACTTTATGGATCGCCTAACTACTACAACTAATTCCAGCTTTATGAATCATGCAAGAAGTAAGGGTAACGGTTAAAAGCGTACCGCTTTAGCCAAGACACAAGTCTCATTCCTTGGAATATTAAAATGAATAAGCCGAATAATTCGTTTGGTTTTTGGCAAGGATTGAACAGCCACAGCAAGTGGAACGACAAAACTGCTGCTCCTATTGGGATAATTGGCTTTCCAGCAAATGACTGTGTGTTTCCAATTCGAAGTCCAAGGTAAGGTTTGGTACGAGGGGAGGTTGGTTTGGCATGGTCGATTCGAATTCATGTGGAAACGAGTTACAAACCACGAAGCACATAGGAGCATTTTGCTACATTTTTGTCCAGTAAAGTCTAAATACGTTGATGTAAATCATTGAAAAGGCTTTTAGCAGCTGAGTGTTTAAATAAACGGCTGATTACTGGAAAAACAAAGCATTACAGGGCATTACCATGAGAAATAATGCCGGCCCATTTTAACAAAAGCCATGGCCGAGAACGAATGGTACTTCATAGGTAAGTGGCTGTGTTGATGGGCAAAATGATCACAATAAGGACTAACGTCGTCCTTTTGTCCGAATCTGCAAATTTTAAGGGATGTAATCCAATATTTATTTACAGAAAATGTAGCTTGTGCTTCATGCCTTTTTAGTTCATAGTTTCTTAGAACAGATTGCGTTGCTCTGTTTGTGTTGATATCAACAAAATAATATTGAGAAATAGCACCCGCGCAGAGTCTTAAGAGTATGTTAAAATCTTATTCCGCATTAAGTAAATAATTTCCTTTCCGATTTACAATAGAAAATTTTCAATTGCTCAATTTCAGTTTCCTAGTTTTCATCTTTCCCGTTTAAGTAACGTCCATTCACGCCGCACTTCACCCTTCTTGTTTATGGACCAAAGAGATGGTAAGGGTTTGTACCCGTGAAGTGGTTTATGTAAAAATTAAAGATTTTAGGTATAAATCTGTTGAAATCTTCGGTGAGATCGAGGAACAGTTGTCACTGTACAAATTATAGTCTGATCTGGAATGTTTTCGTTTTTTTGTTATTCCAAACCGAAAAAAAATCGAAGGGTAACTTTAAGCTTTCGGTGCATAATAGTCGATGCACACAAAGCTCAGTTCTACTCAGTGAGATATGAAATTTTTGATACTAACCACACACGGTAATTTTCAAAGGCAAATGCCCTTCGATAGTTGTGGTTGCTTTTGATTGTTTCAAAAACGTTAGAACTTAATGGGCTCACTCCAAAGCCTGAAAATGCCACTAACTTTAAAATCCTCATTTCATCATGCAAGACCTGCACGGAAATTCGCCTATGAAAACTGGTCGTAATATAAGTTAACAAGGGGATGGGAAGAAAGAATTAATTTCTTATCCCTTGACTTCCTTCTTCATCAACTGTCTTCGATTATAGATCCATGCAAACTAGATCATCTCTTTTAATTTGTGCCTTTATTTTTCACACTACAGTCAAAAGCTTGAAGTTTAAATATTTGACAAACTTGCCCTACAACCCAGGAAAAGCTTCTAACAGTTCCATTATAACTGCTACCCTTAACGTTGTTGGCACGTTTTTTTTAATCAGTCTAACGCACTTTGTGTAGTATCCAGTAGGCTCGGTTGTAGTAGTTGGCATCAGCACCGACAACAGCAGGTGCTTCGAAGCCCGAACTAGCCTTCCACCCCTTTTCTGCTCCACGCTTCCCTTCAATCGGTTGACCGGTTTGAAACACGAGCCTCTTCGTGAAGACGTTTTCAATGAAGTACTTGCCACCACTTAATGGAGTAATCATCCAGATGGCTCGATTGTAGTAGTTGGCATCAGCTCCGACAACAGCAGGTGCTTTGAAGCCTGAACTAGCCGCCCACCCCTTTTCTGCTCCACGAGGCCCTTTTATGGCAGGGCCATCTTGAGACAAGTACCTTTTCGTCTCCAAGTTTTCGATCAAGTATTTGTCACCACCTTGAGGAATGATCTTCCAAAGAGCTCGATTGTAGTAATTTGCATCAGCGCCGACAACAGGTGGTGCTTCGAAGCCTGAACTAGCCTTCCACCCCTTTTCTGCTCCACGAGACCCTTTTATTTTAGGGCCGTCCTGGAACAAGAGGCGCTTTGTTTCGACGTTTTCAATGGCATATATTCCCTCGCTAATACCTATGAGTTAAGATTTCAACAACGTCAAATATTACCAGCAAACACATGTATTTTAAGACGCTCTCTCTCTAAGATCCTCATAAAAATTTTTCGTTCATCTCACGGATATCCTGGAAACTTGGCATCTGAATTACACTTTATGAGGTTAGCTTCAAAATACATTTCCTTTGGACTCATGACTGATTTGTCTGTTTTTTGATTGAGGTCCCGTGGGAGACAAATTGGTCATTCTGTCCTTCAAAATGTCCTTTTTTTTTTTTTTAAGAAAGTGAAATCTTTCCGCTTCCCTCCAAATTTAATTCAAAGCCTTATCCTACCTCATGATAAAATTTATATGTCCTCTTATTA